CCTCGGTCGGGATTCGAACCCGCCACCTGGGGATCCGTAGGCCGGCGCTCTAGCCTCGGAGCCACCGAGGCTTTTTTTTTTTTTTATTTATTTCCTGTTTAACATTGGTGGCATACATAGTTATCAAGATAGACTAAATAGGTAAAACCATCAGCCTTCCTGGCTAATGTCACAGCTAGAAGTCTTTGATGGAGGACAAATCCTCCAGAAGTGGCAGCCACTCAGGTTGAGGCTGCTGCGCCCTGTACAGCTCTTTAAGGAAACACATGTGTTCTACAAAATACTTATACACTGGCCGCACATCGATATCCGCATGACGTACTGCCATACGACATCGCCATATACTGTGCAGTCCCATGAGCATGAACATATCATAAGGCACAGAAGCAGCTTCTACAGACAGGAACCGAATGCCGTGGGACGTTAAAGGGAGGTCTTTTTTTATAGTCCTTTGAAGGACGTCCCAAAAAAACACTGCGTCCCAGCAGTCCAGGAACACATGTTCAATGGTCTCTGGCTTCTTGCACAATAAACAGTTTTCTGACCATGCTACTGGTATGCCCTTTTCAACTAACCAAGCTTTTACAGGAAGCGATCCGCTATGTAACTTAAAAAAAATGTTTTCGTGCACGCGGGAATTACCATTTTCTTGACTCTTTTTAGAACATCCTTTCCTGTGCCTGCGCTGTACAGCGATCGATACAAAGGTGTGGGAAAAAGCAACTCGATCAAGTCCTTCGACAACCGCTTGCGTGACACGCCAGACAAATATTCTAAGGAAAAACGTGTTGCCAAAAACCGATAGGCCCCGATAACTTCCTTCAAATAACCCTGAACACCAAAGCAGACTTCATCGTTCGTCGCTACGATAAACTCGGGCAGCAGATTGCGCAGCCTTACCTGAATTACAGTGCGTAAAAAAGGGTCTCTTTGGTCTCGAAGAAAAAGGAACCTGTTGACCAGCTGTCTAATAAACAAATGCGAAAGGCCGAGACCGCCGGACTTGACTCGACGAAAGAGATTTGATCGACTTGATCTTTCCCACGCCGAACACCAAATAAAAACAGCAAACACCCGATGCATGCGCTGAATATTGATCCGTGAACAATGCAAAACTTGCAAAACATACCACAGCTTGGCAGCGAAAAAAATGTTGCACACAGTTGCACGCGAAAAAATGGACAAGCACTTCCCTCCCCATTTCAGAGTCTTTGCACGAAGAGATTCAGTTTCATCGTGCCAGTACTGGTCGCTGGTGCGATAATGTTCCAAAGGCACTCCGAGATAACGTACCGGCGTGGGGGACCATACAATGCCCTCAAACACAGTCGGCACGGAGGGCCAATTACCGTGCCAAAAACCGGTACACTTGTGCCAGTTTACCGCGCTACACGTGTGCTCACAAAAGCTTTTGGTTACCTCAACTGCTCTTCGAACACTTTCTTCGTCGACACAAAAAATAGCTACGTCATCTGCGTAAGACAGAATGCGCACTTCGGTAGCTTGCAGCCTAAACCCACGCAGATGACTATCATTGATAATGCTTAAGCAAAAAGGTTCAATGAAAATACAAAAAAGTAACGGCGAAAGTGGACAACCCTGTCTCACTGACGAAAAAAGCCTAATACGCTCACTGACACGCTTGTTGACAACAAGGCTGGTGGCGCAGTTTTTATACGCCATCTGCACACCATCGCATAAAACGGAACCCAGATTCACGTGCTTTAAGATACAAAAAAGAATTTGGTGAGACACGCGATCGAAAGCTTTTTCTAGATCAACTTGCAGTAGTGCCACCTTACGGTCCAAACTATCACAGCATTCTAAAATACTACGTGCAACATGAATGTTTGTAACAATACTTCTTCCCTTGATACCACACGTCTGGTGTGGGCCGACAATCATATCTATAACACTTTGTAGCCTGTCAGCGAGAATTTTCATGAAAATCTTATAATCAACATTTGTCAAAGTAATTGGACGATAAGAACCAACGAGACGTAGCTTTTCGCGATCATCACTTTTCGGAATAAAAATGGTGTGGGTGTACAAAAAAGATGGAGGCAAACAATTCAAATCGTACGCTTCCCTGAACACTCCATACAAAAAAGGTGCAATTTGGTCTTTGAAAGCCTTGTAGACCTCCGCTCCTAAACCATCTGGACCGGGCGATTTTCCGATTTTTAAATTTTCGATCACCTTTTCGATTTCCCCCAACATTACTGGCTGCTCTAATCTCTCCCTCACGTCGTCCTCTAGTTTTGCCATTAACGGCAAAAATTGTGTCTGGAACCCGTCTTTATTGGGGGCACGAAGACTAAAAAGCCCCTTGTAGCAGTCTACGAACGCGCATTCGATTAGTTCTTTATCGCTGGTGACAGTTCCGTGGTACAAAATTTCGCTGATCTCATTTTTACTGGCGTACGTCTTTTCTACCCCGAGGGCTCGTTTTGTTGGTATCTCGCCAAGTGATAACCGTTTTAATCGCGCGCGCACCATGGCCCCTTTGTACCGTTCCGTATCGAGAGCCTCAAGTTTCTTTTTCAAACTGACTATGTCATCAAAGAAAAAGCCGGGCATACGACATTCTTCCTGCAGCAACCTTTGTAGCAGTTGGCTTAACTCTTTTGTTTCTTTTTCTTTCTCGTGTTTCAATATGCTGGACCGTTCAAGTGCTCTCATTTTTAAGTCTTGCTTAAATAATTCCCATTTTTCTCCGAAGCCTCCCACTTTTCTGCTGGCGAAATCGTCGAGACTTTCACGCACCCCCTTTACAAAAGGATCATCTTCTAAAAGCTTTGTATTAAATTTCCATAAATCCCAATTGAACTTTTTAGGAGATTCTCTAGGTGAACAGAGCATAAAAGAAACAAGGCAGTGGTCACTGAAAGAAACATGATCTACTGAATAAAACTTGCAGGCGCCGATGATTTCCAGAGAGACGTACGCTCTGTCCAGGCGCGCGTGACTCGCTCCCTGAAAGTGCGTGAACTGTAAGGAGCTCGCTCTTGACGCACAGTGGGCGACGTCTTCTAATTCGCCTAGCTGGACCAATTCTCTCAAGAAGACTGCGCTAGCATCTCTGTACCTTGCGCTGTTAGATCGGTCGCCTGGAGCACAAACACAATTTAAATCGCCTAGCAAAATGACAAGGCGGTCAGTCGTAACATACTGGCTAATGTTTTCGAAAAATACTAATCTATCTTCTACCTTATTCGGAGCATAAATGCACAATACGCGAAACTTGTAACTTGAAAACAAGAAATCACACACTATCAATCGTCCGATCTCGCAGCTAATTACTTTTTCGACATTTCCGATAGATTTTCGAAGAAACAAAAGGCAGCCCCCCGAATTACCAACAGCGTGACTGACACACACATTGTACCTCGACTCGAATAGGCGGACCATGCACTCCGTCTGGTCCTCGCTCTCAATTTTCGACTCTTGTACCGCAACAATATCGAGATCTTTTTCAACGAAAAGACGGTTCAGCTGACATTGTTTGCGCCTTGCACTTAAACCTCGTACGTTCAGAGTGCCCACGCGTAAGGACCTTTCAAGGATCATAAGAAATTAGAGTGAGGCCAGACGAAGGCTACTGGACTTACAAAGGGGCGTTGAAAGTCGGGATGAAAAAAGCTCACTGCGTCGGCTCGTGTTGCCGAGTTGGAGACCCAGGCTGATGTACCGCCCTATTTTCCCCCTTTCACCGTGCCATTCCCGTTCGAAGCGCCTCGGCAGATGCTCCACGCCGAGAGAGTCTGTGTCGTCCAGCCGACGCTTTGTCGCCGTAGCGTCGACTTCCATGGACGTGAGGACCTCGTCTTGCTTGGAGACAGCAGGATCTGGGTGCTTATTTGTTCCCTCGGGGTCGCTTGAAGTACTCTTTACTGTCTTGGGAATAGTGTCCTGGGTCTGCTCGGGAGTTGTCTTCGGGGACGGTTGTGCAGTAGGCGCTTCCGGTGACGCCTTGCTTGAAATCCCGTTGTCAATAGCTGCCTGGCTGGGCGCTAGCTGCACTGGCGGTGGTACCGGTGCTGCGGCCCGCTCGGTCTCGTCTTCGTCCATTATCAACTCGGACGTTTCCGGCACGGTGTCGCTGCCAGTGACGCGAGCGTACGTCCTGACACAGTCTCTTTTTTCGTGCCCGAAACCTCGGCATTCAGAGCACCACGGCACCCTACAGTCCCGCCGAATGTGACCGTGGCGCCGGCAACGGAGGCAGATGGGCGAGCGCCCGGGGACCACCACCAGTACCGAGCCGCCAAAGAAGCGGAGCTGGTGTGGCAACTTTTCCAGCGATACATCTTGGCGGAGGGTCAAGGCGACAGTCAGCGTCGTAGATTCAACGCCGACGAGCCCGTTCAGCTTCCAAATCTCCCGGACGACCTCCTTCACCTCGCCGTACGGCTCGAAGGCGCGACGGACGGTGTCGACGGGAACGTCGAAGGTAACCCAGTGAAGTTTCACCTTGATATCCCGCCGGTATGGGTCGATCACTAGGCAGCGCCGACCCTTTACCTGAAGTTCGCCGGCGTGAAGCAGCTTGCTCTTGGCCTCCGAGTTCTTCATCTTGGCGAGCCAGACATGACCCATCTGATACGCCCCCAGACCGGCCAAGTCTTGTAGAACCCCCATTTGGTTTAAAGGAGGCACAAAATCTTCTGCCCTGTAAGGCCGACCACCGGTGTCACAATGCAGCACTACGCTGTTCTTCATTATTTCTCCTGTTGGCAGCGTCGGCAAAATAACAGAGTCATCCCGGGCGGCGTTGCCCTTATCAGAATCACCCCGGCCAAGGCCGGTTGTTATCGCCGCTCCTGACGAGCGATCCATCACACGTCCGCTCTGCTCGGCAGCCGGAAGTGGACTCTCTCAGAGCCACCGAGGCGGCAACTATATTAAGACTAAAACGCCTGAAAATATCTAGAACACAAAAGTAAATCTTGCCGCGATATGAAAGATTATTATTCTGTAATCGACACAATATAACTTACGTATTCGTAAAGGCCATTAAGATGCGTGTCGTTCAGCATCCAAGAAGGGTAACCAATTTTTGCTGCCATTTTTTGAAGCTGAAATAAATGACCTCATTACTACATGCTCACAATACGGATAAGGGTCAGTACCTTCTGCATTGCTTCCTTACGTGTAGAGTTATCCATCCATGTATTATTTTCAAGCATCTCTCCAAAAGCACTGTGAAGCACACCCACTAATTTGTCCATCTGATGAAAAAAATAATCACCTTAAAAGACATTTTAATATTTTATCGCAGGAATCTCGACCTGTATGATTTATATCTTCGCCCCATATTTTGTGAAATATTCCAAGATACAAAATACAAGTAATGTACTGTTTTATCACAAAACAATCGGTCGCTTACGCGAAACGCCAGCTCCACACATAGTTTTCTTCTTTGTACTATCTTTGGCATAGTCGGGCCCCTGCTCCCATGCAGTTCGACATATAGCAAAATGAACAACTCAGCAACATTCTAAAGCATTGTAAGCAGCTTAAAAAACTATACATTCTAGCTTTGATCAGATTACACAAGTTGAGCTGACCACTAAGACGATCGTCGTCGTCGGCGGCGCAGCTCGAGCTGATGAATTGAGCTCGAGCACATCAATCTGCGAGGTGATTATCAAGAATTTAGCGATGTGCCTTCGGCCTGTCATACTGTAATAAATAGTTAAGTACTAACCCACTCACCGAATTACTACACTGGCGACAAGGGTCAAGACAAGAGCGGACTGAACAGGAGTAGATCACATTTATGCAACGAGAATGGTGGAGAATTCTACCCATCGCTTATGTGGTCTCGAGACATTCCGCCCGACGAGGAGCAATGGAGACTGTATCATATAAGGCGCCAAGCTTGTCTTGATGTCGATGAACTTATGGTGGACGCGGACAAGAACTTATTGATCGCTTCAGTTCGTGCCGAGACATTCAAGATACTGAATAGCTTCTCGAATAAAGCGTATCAGGAACTTGTAAAGAAACTTAAAAAACACATAACACTTAAGAAATTAAAAGAATTCGATCGGACGAAACTGTTTTTCTCTCGTCAGGAAAGAAAAATTAAATCTTGCTTGCAGAGCTCTCACATTTTGTTAGCACATGTTCACCTGTCTTGACATTTCTGATCTTTAAATTTGCCTCAAATGACATTGCATTGAATGACCTTGAATTTCTATTTTTACAATGCCGTTGCACAGAAAGTGTTTTTGTATTCTTTATTTTCTTTCCCTTTTTATGAACACCATTCGATATATTTCGTCCCTTGACCCTAGTACAAACTTGTGTATAAACCACGTGTTTTAGACTATTCGACTATTCCGTGAAAATATTTATAATTCTTACGTTTTAGTTTTTCTAGGCTATCGAATATTGATCGATTGGTTGTTTTTGATTTGATTAGATTTGACTATTGCATGTATTTGAAATTTTTGTATAATGTGTCTTTCTTCCGGCGTCATGTTTATGTGGCCCGCTGAACACCCTGAAGGGGCTAGTCCTTGTCAGGTACTTGCGCATTTTGCCTTAGGCCCGTCTGCAGGAGAATTCGGAGACACAAATATGCATTGAAAAGAAATAAGAATAAATCGGTCAAATACTTCATAGCACTGCTTCGAACAATCATCACCAACTGCGAGTATGCACCTGAAGCCGATGCCCAATGTTGCACACTTTTGAAAGCATTCATCGTCAGTCTCCATGACAGAGGCGTCCGTGCACGCATGGCACTGGAGAGTCCCGAAGGATCTCACTCTTGACGGTGCCCTCCGCTTGAACGAGTCCTACCTTAAAGCCGAAGCGGAGTCACAACGCCTAGACGGAGGAGACCACTCTGCGCTACTCGTCGAATAGGTGAAGCAGTTTACTTCTGGACAGTGTTGGGTAAAGTACATCTAAAAGGTACTTCAAGTAAAATACAAAGTAAATGAGACGTGGTGTACTTCAAATAAAGTCGTAAGTACACTGGATGCAATGTACTTGAAGTAAAGTACTATAAATACAATGTACTTTCAAAGTAAAGTACGAATATTTTAACACAATCATTGATGATGAACTTTCATTCACCTATACAGTGATTTTTTAACTGGTATGCATCGCAAAGGGTTAATCAGGGGTGCATGACCTATTTTCAGAAACAGCGGCGAATATTTGATAAAGTGAAGTGACCACAGTATTTTTTTCATGAACTTAGCCAAATTGAGAAGTTCCTCTTCTGAATTTGGCGCAGCTTGCGCTGGTTTGTTGCACTCAGGGTGGTTACACTAGGAGAGAGCATGACGTCCGCCCCTAGGTTTCGCAAACAATTTTTTCACACAGGAATGTCCTCGCGAGCAAACGGTTATATTTAATCATAATGCGACACCTGAGATTGGGGTGCGAAAAAATTAAGGAATTTTCAAGTCGAGGGAAAAGACAAAAAAGAATGTGTCTAAACATCGTGACGTTCTCCATGTGTTGTCTTTTTGTTCGACTTGAAAGTTTAAATTTTCGCACCACAGTTTCAGGCTCTGCATTGTGATTAGTTTTACTCTCCTGATATTTTACAGCTCCTTGCTTGCGCTGACCGACCGAGAAGCAGCGAGGTAGAAAAGCTACGGGAAAACCGCTTTAGGACAAGCGGAGGGATGCGTTGTCTGCCCAGGTTCCTGGTTAGAGTAGAATATCCCTCCCAGTATTTCTTCGGAGTTTACAAAACATAATTTCGTGATACAAATTTAACAAAACCATATTTAGAGAATGTACTTTAAAGTCTGGAATTGTACTTTGCTCAGAAAGTACACGAAAAAAATACTTTAAGTAAAGTACACGTACACACTCAGAGAATGTACTTTAAGTAAAGTACAAGTTTCCTAAACCTACATGAAGTAAGACTTTAAGTAATTGTACTTGAAGTACTTCCCAACACTGCTTCTACACCACTCAAGTGTTTCCGATTCCGCAATACACAATCAGAATGCGCCTGAGGCTTCCAAGATAATTTATGCATCAGATCATGATGTTTCAACCAAGAGACTGTCGATGGAACTTGAAGAGAAATTAAAAGAAACAGGATAAAGGTAAGACACGCATCTGAAACTCAGCGAATAAAATTTATTTCATGCAGCGTTTTATATCCTTCTCCAAAGTCGTCCAGAGCGTAGAAAAAAAAAAAAGAACACACCATTTTGTTTTCAATTTCACTGAATTTTTAGTCAGCTTTTGCGTTGTAGACAACCTTGGGAGAAGGTTGTACAAGCGTTGTTTTCAATACATTTTGTTAGACGAGTTTAAGACGTTTGTGTACCACCTTTCTTCAATTTATTCGAAGTTATCTTCAAGTTTCCTCTGAGTCTTGTGTTTTAAAAATTATGATTAGCACGCACGAGCTCGCCTGCACGTTGACCAATTTTTTTCATGAATCATGCAATGCCTCTGTTAAAGGGTAACTGCAAAGAAAAAAAACGCTTTTTTTTTTAAACAGCCTAAATGGGACAATCATGTCACAGAACAAATCTTCCACGAATAATTTTTTTTAGCAATATTGTCATTATAGGACGTAGTTCAGTCGGAGTCAGTACCTCTTCATATTTGAAACTCCCTCTCTTTCGACCCGCGAGGAGAAATACGCCCCGCCCCTAGCTTTTGGATGCGCTCTTGGATTGACCTTGCTGCGGAGTTGAGCGACGTACGGAGAGTCTCGACTTCCGGTGCGTCTTGTCGAAGATACGCCGCGGGTCAGGGGGGAAGGGGGGAGGGGGGGGGGGGGAGAGGTGCCGCCGATGTGCGCTGGAAGCTAGAGCCGGTTTGCGTTCGTAGTTTTTCTTTGGTCGGAGAAAATCTGGTAACAACGTACGTTCAACATAGCGCCGATATTCTTTTGGTTTGACGGGACTCGAGAATCTCTGCGGTTTGCGAGCATATGTGGCAAAGACCTGACCATAGAAGTTCCCCTGTGATGTTGCCGAAAAACGTAAAGTATCATTCGTAATCGTCGTGTGTGCTTTAAAAGCGAAGGGCGTCACAGGGTCCAACGTTCACGACAGCGCTGCTTCGACTTTGGCGATTTCCTGTTTGGTGCAGCACCTCGATGAAACAAACAACTTAAACGTTCGTGGTGTGTGGTGCGGGGCTTGGATGTAGAAACCCACACTAACACAGAGCGAAAATTGGTTGTTGTGGGGTTGAGGTTCAACATGTTCACACTTGGTTCAGTCCCGTCGTCGTCAGCTGATTCGGTCCAGCTGGTCCAGGAGGACGCCGCGAGCGTCTATAAAAGTAAATCTTCCTTCGTTCAGTTTCAAAATGTGGAAGATTCCCGAAGCATACCGTAAGTAAAAAGCTGCGGGTGTTTTCAACAAAAATTACGTCAATTTAAATGAACAATGGACTCCGGATTGTTGTCCTAAATCTGCCTTTTTATGCTTTGTGCTGTTGGACTGCGTTTGCACAGCGACGTGTTTGCACAGCGACGCACACCGCTCCAGTAGATGATTCGGTCCTGCAAAAGACCGGTTATACAGAATTTGAGGGAATCATAAGTCACCACCGATATTTTCCAGTAAATCTCTTGCGAGTTTTTTGCGCTCATCATGCGGTGTGACTAAATTTGGGCAAGATTCCCTACCTGCCCACAGATGCATGAACTGATACCAGTTTTTACGTAAGGAACTTAGTGCTGCTTCTTTAAATTGGGTAGAGTTGTTGGTCCATTCATTATGGCTCAATCACTTGAGAGTTCAGAAATTCGGGAGGGCGAGCAAGCTTTCCCAACTTTATCTCTTTTCTCTCTGGCACTGCCCCTAGTTCCAGGTTTCAGTTTCAGTAGACATATTGTGGGAGCCACTGGTTTCCCTCCCCCGACAAAGCTTAAGCCTAGGACGTTCCGGCCGAAGCCGTCTGACTTCAAGCCCGGTCGCTCCGTATCGTGTCGGTGAGACTACGCCACCATGCTGGCTTACTCTTTCGCACTCCTCCGCGCGTCTCCCCGATTTCGGGGGAACAGTGAGATCGCGCGAAGGGAGGGTCGGGCCTGCCCTCCGAGTGGACGGCCGTGTGGTCGAGGAGTCCTGGGTTGGACTCCGGGCAACGGGTCAAGTCGCGGCGCGTGCTCGTCCGACCGGCGATGACTCCACGCTAGTGATTCCCCGGGCTCTGTCAGACGGCGTCCCCACTACCTGTGGACGTCCGTCTGCCGAGAGCCTTGGCCCCGAACTCCGTTGGCGTT